CTGTATAATTGGAGCACATAACTTTTTTTGAATGACGTTTTCAAAAGGCTCTTGAAAAAGGCCTATTTCGATAGATTTTTCTATTTTGCGACACATGCAACAAATCGGCACAAAATAACAAGGGACCATACTTAAGGGCCATACCTTGATCACCTTTCAACATCAACTTTTGTCTTTTAGATGCTGTTGGTTTGAGTTCATCATCTGTAAAAAATTGAATAATTGTTAAGTGTTTTTACTTTTGAATATTTCATTTTATCTAAGGACTTAAGTATCACCTGGATCTAAGCATCATTATGTGCTCTAGGCGTTGCTTGGGCTAAAAGCCTCAGCTAGCTAAGTTCTAAACACCAGGCCTAAAAAAGTATATTGTTTGTTTGCCTTTCTTTTTTCAAAATGATAAAAAGGGGCGGGGGAAAAAGTTCTTAATTTTTTTTAAATACTCATCAGATGGAATAAAAATAACCCACAGAGGCCTAGAACAACTTCAGACTAATTTGTAGGGTATCTGGGAATAGATAAAATATACAGTAACTGTCAATCAACAACTAAGAAGAAGTCCACAGCATGGACAAAAGCTTGTGAATATTTTCAATGAAGTTTGTTAGTCTGTAAAGTGTTTAATAAAGTCATACATTCCAGATGAATTTTACCTTCTAAAAGAGCTTCTACAGCTGAAAAGAGCTGGAGTTTCTCCAACCTTTCAATAAATGCTTTCATGTTTTCTTCACAAATTACTTTTCTGTGCTCTAGATCCCTAATCAAATGCCATCTGTCTTCATATTTCTTGAGTAGTGTGTTAAATGAACCATTCAGCGTTGCTACATCCTCTTCATTCAATGTCCTTCCTAGTTTTACCAGCTTTTGCCTGTATGATGTGAATTTTGATACTGTTAAATTCTTAACATTCTGGAAAAGTGGAAGCAGATCCTCATTCTTTGGTTTGAATCCAAATTGTTTAGTTATATTTATGGTATCATACAGAATACTAAGATCTGTTGGACTCAGATTCCCAGAAGCATGCAAGTTGTCCAGCAAGTCACGCATCTTATTAGCTTTATCTAGTGTACTAACATCAGTCACATGATCTCTGTACAATACTTTCAGCATACTGATGGATCCAATTCCATCATACCATTCTGATATGTCATGCAACAGCTGACGGTAATCCTCATCGGAAATACCTAGAAAAAATGTAATAATAAACATACTGTAAGTCCACGAATTGAAGCCTACTGGGTTTAATCTCGAGATGGAGCCCATCTTGAATTGAAGCCCTCTCCCAATTTTTAGTTTGCAAAATTAGCCTTGAAAAAAAGCCCATAGGCTTCTTTTCAAAATGGCATAGGCTTCTTTTCAAGATAATACAGTCACATACACTGTACATTAATTTTAGAAAACAAAATAAATTAAATACAAGCTTGGTTTATACAGTAGTTTAGGTGATTTAATGCCAGTTAAATACAATCCATGATACAGATTGATGTTACAATCTCTTTATTGTTTTACAGTACAAATTCACAAAATGTACAGCATTCAAAAGTGTTTGATCTTTAGTATATTTATAGCTTTGTCACCTACTAGGGGTAATGTTTTGATTGATCACAACACTTTGGGTACATGTGCATATGAAAGCTTGCAAATATGGATAATTTTTCATTCCTGATGATGACATAATTAATGTCAAAATATTGAATCCCAACACGATGGCGTGCATTTTTTTGATACTTGGAGTGTGTATTATACTATCTTATCTGAGATTAATCAGTGCACCTTTTGGTTTTACGTATTGCTGAGTATTAACTTTAGTGTAAAGTTTTACTACAAGATATCACATACCTTGATTTGATTGCTCAGATTTAATAAAGTATAGAAGGCCAGCGTGACTTTACAGGGCTCACATCCAAATCTCTCACACTACTCATGGAGAGGCTATGCTCCTCTCCATTAATTCATCACCATCACTGAATGTGTTACATTGGTAATTAATAACTCATTTCATCTTTTCCATCTTTTTGCACCTGTCTCTCCTACACAATTTTCAGCATTAAAAGGCAAACAAACAATTTACGCCAAATACTGGTTCACTAACTCCGAGTGCAGGAACCTTTAGGATACTAAACACAACATTTTTTGTCAGTAAATAGAAGATTCCAAATAAGTACAGCACACCATATGAATAATTATACAGCTAGTAATGAATGCAACTAGCATTATTTTGTTAATGTTTATAAAACAATGTTAGCTTACCCTTTGTGGTTTCTTCTGCCATATTGACTTTCTTTTTAATAAACTTTTACCAGTTGTGGTACTTTATACACTGTGGTTTGACCTGTGAAAATTCAGAGGTAAAAAAATATTAGTAATAAAAAAAAAAAAAAAAAAATGTTTTTGTAAGAAAAGTTTGTAGGCAAATGCCAGTAGCTTTTATAATGAAGAGCATTGAAACGTCAAATCAAAATGATATTATCAGATAAAACTTTATTTTCTGTTAAAAGAAGAAATTGTTTTGCTCAAAAACCAATAAGAACAAAATAAGAACATTCTGAGCCTGAAATCGGCCAAAAAATAAGATGATTGAGCCTGGCCAAAATTTTACCGGTTCTTACCAAAGATCTATAATAACAAGATAGCGTTTCTCCGCAATTTCTGCGTGCAAATTCTGTAATAAATAACGCAGTGTAGGACGCCCTCTTGCAATTACAATTACTTTTCAACTTTGACATCTATGATCTCAGCGCAAATTCTGGAACAACCGCCATAGTAACAACTAGCTAGGACGCTCTCATTCAATTACAATTACTTTCTATAAAGATCTTATAAATACAAGATAGCGTTCGCCGCGATTTACGCATACAAATTCTGTATTAACACATGAACGGCGCCCTCTTGCAAAATTTAAAACATTTGAACCTTGACCGCGCGACTTTTCATTTATGCGTAACAATTAGAAGGGTACGATTTACAATGCGCCCTCTAATTAGAACATAAGGAACAAATTAATTAACGTACTTGGTAACAAACTTTGGCGTAACGCAAACACCCTACATCAGATCAATGGCAACGACTAGGACGCCCACTCCCAAAACTGACTTTCCTCTGCCAAATCGAAGCTTCTATTAGTAAAATCGTGTAGAACGTATCTTGTGTTTATAAGATCTTTGCTTTCTATTGTTTTCTGTGTGAACTGGATGCTTCTATTTGTGACACGAAAATCGCGGAGAACACTATCTTGTAATATTATAAGATCTTTGGTTCTTACTCTATAAAAAAAGTGTTATTTTTATGGACTGATGTGATGTAATCGGTAGTCACTCCTTAGAGGTCACAACAGCGAGGTTCACATGCATACATTCTTCAACCGTGGCTTATGCATTATTCATAGGAAGTGTTTATAAGCGAATTGAGGGGAATGTACAACAGCTGAGAAATGGAGCACAGTGCTGCCGTTACTATACTACTTTATCAATAAACTATGATATATGTCATGTACTACTGTATCAATAAACTATTATATATGTCATGTATTTGTGGCCTGTCGAACCCTGGTAGTAAGCTTGGAAATTTAAGGTAATGATTCAAATAGGAATTATCTTTAATTTCATCAACCACTGGTGTTTCCTCTTGTCAAATTTTATAGTTTATACATACAATTGTCATTGTATATATAATATATATACTGTATTGTATGTATATGTATTTATTTATAACACCACAACAGTTTTCAAGATGTGTTTACTGTTTGTTCCTAATACCAATCCTCGCCGGGGACCGATTATTTTAACGAGGTGTTCATGTAGGCCTTGTTGTCAAAATAATATACTTTTTGACTTGACTATTTTTACTGTACGACGACGTTGAAACTAGATTAGTGATGTTGAAATATTATGTTTTACAGAAAAACTTCTATAGTTTCTATAGCGTCTATACTTCTTTGCACATTGCTCAATTTTTTTTTTATACAGGTAGTTTCGCTTTTTCATTTATAGCTTGATATTTAGTTTAGTTTTGTTTTGTTTTTTTTTTATAGTTTTTTAGTTTTGTTAACTTGCTCAGATTCCCAGTAAACGCAGACATTGGATTTTATTTTATTTTATTTTATTAAAGTACACCTATACTAGTTCACCTGAACATAAAAAAAAAACCCAAAACAATATATCGTAACATAATAAAATAAGACCTATTTGTTTTCCGGTGGCTTTTCACATGCGTTGCCCCTTTGATCTTGTTTGGAATTGGCAAATAATGAAAAGAACATTATAATATGAAAATATTTATATGGTGTAAAATGATAATTTGATTTACATAATATTTACATTTATGCATTAATAACATAACAGGTAATAAAAAAAAAATATTTAAATGTTTGAATTTTATGAAACTGTAAAATAAAAGTAGAGTAGACGCATACTCGAATTGTATGTATTTGTGCAGGTACTCACACTAAGCATTGTACTAGCCCAAAGCAGGCTATAGATAAATACCAAAGTCCTCGTGGGACATATAATTTATCGTGGCGGTGTTGGTGACTGGACATGAGTAGCGACTGGCCGTTGAAAAAATAGCATTTCTAAAAGTTTAACAAGTGCAAATTATAATATAAATTATGTATGATTTTAGTCCGAAATACCCAGCTTTTGTAACTTTTTATATAACCCTGGACCTCTTGAACGATTCCAGAGTTTAATATCTTGTTGAATTAGGTCAAAGGATGAAAACCCCTTCCCCATTGATCCACCGGAACCCTGTCGAATGAAGCCCATATCTTGATTAGAAGCCTGGTGTCGTAAACACTGTTGAATAAATATAATATAAATGATCAAAGGTACATATACATTGTTTTTTTCATGTCCTTATTAAAAAAACGAATTCGATCCAACTCGGCCACAAGTCAACTCGGCCACAAGTCAAACTCGGCCACAAGTCAACTCAGCCACAAGTCAACTCGGCCACAAAAAGTTCGGCTACAGTCAACTCGGCCACAAGTCAACTTTTCTGTCGAAAATGACACTGGGACAAAATGTCCGGGAGAAACCAGCCTGCTACCGATGATGACATAGGCCTAATTAAAGGGGGAGTGCGGGGATGAGACAAGTGGCCATATATTGCTTATTTAACCTTTCCTGAGTTCGGGAAAAATACTTAAAAAATTCAAAATGTTGAGATGTAAGGATAATTACAGAAACAAAACATGATATGATGAGACAGGAAAATCAGGTGAAAACGAGGCTGATCACTTTTTTCAGTAGCTTGGTAGCACTGTCTCTTATACACATCTAGATGTGTATAAGAGACAGAGACAAGTCTGTCAATTAATTTTTGGCGAGCAGCTGATCGAAAAATCGTCCCGACGATCGAGCGACTAGCCTAGATACAGTACACCAGTGTGAAGTCGTGAGTTTTTGTGATCGTTTACGTACGCAGTTACAGAGAGACGGTTAATCAACGTCAATCCAATCATGGAGGAATAATTCAATTGAATTAATAAACGTATATCAGTCCGATGACTTGACTTGTTTGTTTATAATTAGGCCTACACCTATGCCTAGGATTAGCACAGTCAGTGTCTACCCAGCAGCAGTAGCGCACTCTCCGGGACACTGCTCCAGTCCCGCAGCAGGTGAGTTCGCACGCAGCCTTATCCAGCTGACGGTAAAGATAGTAGGTTTCTACTACTAGCCTAGACTTGTCATGCCATGCCATCTTTGTCACATTAATTTTGCTAGTGCATTTTTTCCCCCATAATAATAGACCTAGGCCCCTAGGCCGGCCTACTAATAATAATATACAGTACTATAGCCTAGGCCTGGTCCTATGAAAAACTGTCTAGGCCTAAATGTCTAAAAAATGCACTGTCTAAATAAAGGTGATGTGCTATAACACTACAGTATATCATCAGAGCCAACACCAATTCCTGTAACAATATTAGATTATTATTGATATACATACTGTAGGCCTAGAAGCTAGGCTATACAACAATAACGTCCCATTAAATAATAACATGATGCATATGTTACTCCAAACCTAACTTTCAGCTGTTGTTGAAATGTGGAATTCAAATAAAATATTATACATATATATTTTTGTAGGACAAGATATGTGATAGGCCGAAACATAACACTCTCCTCACATAGATATTTGTCAGTCGCCATGATGAGACAAACATACTACTGTACAACATT